AAACACTTTGAGATTGATCGATATTTATCAAAGAAAAGCTAAATAGTTGATTGATAACTACAACCTACATTGTTTTTGGGTATCACCTGACAAATGTGTTAACAAATTATTTACAAACATAATGATTCAACCATCTAACTTACAAGCTTGGAATGATTAATATTTATTCACCAGCTTGAAGAAGAGTGTTGTAAATATTAAACTGTAAATAAAAAATTATGAAATTAGTCGGAAGCTCATTAAACAAAACCTATTAAATTTATTTTTTTCTCTATATATGTAATATTATTTTAGTATTGTAATTAAACTATTATATATGAAATATTTATTTTTTAACACTTCTTGTTCTTACAAAGGAGACATTGACATGATCGGTGTCAATTCAACAAAAGCAAGAAAAAATCAAATAGTTAAATTTTAAAGAACGTGTATTTATTATTCTTTATTTTTGTTGAATAGGTATCAATCAAATCGTTGTCTTAGCCATGGGGATAAAAAAGAAACGTATCACTTTAGTTGTCTTTAGATTTTCATACGATTTTCAAATACTAGTCCATAGCGTCGACCCAAACTCTTTAGAGGTCTAAAGCCACTTTTAAAGTTAGGCCTTTAAAATATATTCTAATTTTAATTTTTGTAGTTACCAAGAGTTGAACCAAAGGCCAAAATAATTCGAGGCCTCTCTTTTTTCCACTCTACTATGAAAATATGTGTAAATTATATGTTATTTTATATATTTATCACTAAACAAAAAAATTTTAGGCGTTTTATGAGGTTTTTTTCAATCCAAAATTTTGAGGTCTAAAATCCTTGTTTGGGTTGCCTTACCCTTGGACCGGTCTGCTAGTCCATGGTGAACCACCTATCAAAATGAGGTTGCTCTTTCCATCCTTAGTGGACAAGAGTCACCCTATAAAAACTTAAAATTTCCCTTCACAAATTTGGAGGTATACTTGCTTATGCACCCTATATATACCACATCCCTTTGCAAGTGTGGCAAACCTTATTTTTTAATAATTTAGTACAGAAATGCATCTATGTATTATATACGGAAGTATACTTCCGTAATAACGATCGGCGGTAAGGTTTGACATTTTTTTAAATACACTGATGTAATAAGTATACTAATGTAATAGATCATTTATAATAAATTTATTATCATAATAATTTTTTTATCAAGTAAATCATACACTAATGAAATAAGATTAAAATGTCATATAACATCAATACAAAATCTATAATACAATCAAAATGACAAATTACAAATCATAATACTATCCCATAATCTATAATACAAATACTATCAAATACAATTGGGTATATTAGACACTATGTTCATTCTCTACCTCTTGTACTGCAATTGAGTTCATGCCTCAGATAGAATGACATCTACAGTTTCCCTCTCAGGATTGCCTTTCACAAAGTCTCCTCTCTTTACACTTGCTCGCACATTATTCATAATACAACAACAAGCAGGTCAAATATCAACAGCATGATCGATCCTAACCTGCTTCTCCTCTAATATCTCCTAATGAGCTAGTCTAGGAGGATATCCGTGAGCATCTGATGTCATGTAAGAATGTGACATTCTGAAATACTATTGGATGTCAAATACACTACTCTATGAATGAGGAGCTGGCACACTTTGTGTTTCCTCGGGTACTAGATGATAAAAATCATCATACATCGTGACAACATATTTTTGGACCATCGTATCAACATCTCTGCGCAAGCACGTGGTTGATCCTCGGAGTAGTCATCAACATATGACCATTCAGAGATGCGTGGAAAGTGTTGGAGGATTTATGCTTGGAAATTGTACATATGAAATATTAGTAAGGGTGTATCATATGTGTTATGAAATGTTAGTAACAGTAGATGTGCAAATATATTACTATAAATAGTATGTAGCTTATTGTCATGTGTTTGGTCTTCCAAAGACAAGCTTCAACTAATTTTGAGTACAAGTAAACCAAACAAACGGCCGAATATTTGTACTCATGAATTTGCTTGAAGTCAATGAAGTATCTAAGGTAAGCCATATCGATGTAATAAGCACTTTTGTCCACAAATATAGATGTGTCAACTAAATACACGAGGTGTGACTTTATCACACATGCTCTATGATGCAAAACATGTGCATCATCAACATCAGTCTCCACTGCCATAGCCATGAGGTCTATCTACAACTTCTTTAGAAATGCAAATCTAGCATATGACATCCTCTAATGTCATCCATCTCTTTTTGGGTATCACAAGGATCAGTTCTCAAATAGGTCACCATCATGTCAGTTCGTTATTCTGGAGTGGTCTAATAATCTTCCTCTAGTCGGAAGATGTAGAAAGGACGACACATCATCTAATATGATGGACATCTCACCATGCAAAAGATGAAAAGATGTCTCTGAGTGTCATATATCAATAAAAGTTGACGGCATGTCATGGTTAATAACAGTATTATAAGTCATTCATAAATCTCACATCCCAGATAGTTGCATGACATTGTGAAACCATTGTTCATTGAATTGTTACAGTTTCACAATCTTTCTACCATGGTTGATGCATTTTAAAGCATCACAATACTGCAAAAAAACATCATTGTCATAAAGTTTGAATATTATAACACATGTGCTTAAAGAATAAATACAAATAAATTTGACATCTTTATCCCACATATGCCTAGCAACATGGTTTGCATACGGAGGCATTCGGAACAGTAACATCGGCAATAGGTACATCAACATGGACATGTGGGCTTTTGGGGCAACAACGGGTGACACTTACCTCCTGGAAGACGAATTTGAAGACTCCTGAACTCCAGAAATGGACGCTTCTACATCAAATGAATTGACATAAACCGGTGGTCGCGAGAGTCACACTTTATTTCTATGAACAAATACATGTTGGGACACTCTAGCGTGCCTCAATTGTTCTTGGTTGTCATCCATCTTACCTATAATTCAACCAGACAAAGTAGAAAAAATCAAACTCATATGAAAGACATTCAAAATCAAACAATGCAAACATAATACAAAAGTGCACTTCTATATTGCTGAAATATCAAATCCAGACAAAATACAGAAGTGCACTTCTGTATTGTCCTGGAACTTTGAAATCGCAAAAATGGTTGAAAACTCGGGGAAACACAAAAATGGAAGAAAATACATGTCACTGTTAACTACCTAACTATGAGTGTAACTATCTTTATAGTTATGTACCTTAAACAATCTAGTGAGCCTATTTAGTAATGCACAAAGAGAATGAAAAAAGAGAAATATAAAAGTTTACCAAATGTGTAATGGAAGCATTTGGATTGAATGGATGTTGAGAAGTGATCGATAAAGCATTTGGATTGAATGGAGTAGGAAAATTTGAGCAAGGTAGAAAATGGTGAATTTGGAATATTAGAGAAGTGACTTGGTATACTTTATTGAAAATGTGGAAGGAGAAGGTATGACGCATATTAGTCTAAAAACTCGTATGGAGATATAGTTGTATATTTTTGTAAAAAATATATCTCCGTACAAATTTTTGAAAAAAGAAATGTGTGATTCACTTACGAATCGGAAATACATCTCCGTAATATAGAAGAATTTTTGGATTTTCACAATGGTTCAGGAAGACCACTAAAAATGCAATATGCAATCCCCTTCGGTCTAACAAGTGCATTCATTATCCATAAATACAATCAAGTGCAGCGCCGTTGATGTTAGTTAATACTCTTTTCCATCCCGTTATATTTATCATTGATGCACACATTTAATAAAAGTAATTATACTAACTTTTAAGAAAAAGGAATACACTTTTTGTATTAGGAGTTGAGAAGAATCACTTTCATATCGAGTAAATTGAGATACCAATAAACCATAATGTTATTGATAATATTAATTAGTTGTTGATATATTGCTATTGCAAAGTAGTCAATATTTTTGCAGGCAATGCATTTAACTAGACTAATCACAATTACCCATTCACAAGGGTAATGAGTTGAGTGATGATTTCGCTTTGGTGCTCATCTTAGAAAACAAATGATAAAGACATGCAACTATAATGTGCATAATCTTGTTCTATTAATCAATGAGGAAGCTTTACATAGCTATCAGTAGCCAGATTAAGAACAATAGTGTTTCCTTTGATAGTAAACCAGCAACCTAATCTTTTTCCCTGCATATCCATTCTGGGCATAAGATAAGATGCGTTGCCAGCTTGTTAGTTCCAGTGTCACATTTCATTAATGCTTTTATTAAAATGAATCACCGTGATAAATTTCTTCTTTTTAGGGGAAGAACAAGTAATGTTGTACACCTGTTTCTAAAGTTCTAAATACATGTTTTAAATACACCAGTTATAAAATTTAATTTTCACTTTGAATGAATATGATTAGGCTCAAATTGGTAAATAAAGGAGTGGGGACACATTAATAGATGAAAAATTAATATAAAATCTTATTAGTTTTGATGAATCAGATATTGTAATTATTATATCTATGTTGATTCCTACTTTGATCAGTTAGATGGATTGATAATAAAAAGAAAATTTAATGAACATGATTTCAAATTAGAAACTAAAACTGATGATAAGTAAATGTTACTTAAATGTGTAAATATTTAAAAACTAGACTAACGTAAAGATAAAAATCAATAGTTAGTTGATTCAATGGTGAATAACACCGAATTTAATCGCTCCACCGGATCCTGGATACTGGCGGTGAAACCCAAAAAATAAAGAACCATCCTAGTATATAAAATGACTTATATGATAGATTGGGAGAGTACATGTCAGATCAAACATGAATAGTTCAAAATCACACTGCTGCAATAGATTGGGAATGTTGGAAATTTTTTAAGGATAAAATATATTAAAACAATCTCACTGCTACACCTTTAATATTATCATGTTTATAAATGTTGCTACAATGACAAGGACGAGAAAATGTGTTTTAGAGAGCTCCCGGGACAGCTGGAATAACTAAAAACAAGTGATAAAACACAGCAAAACATTTACCGCCTAAATGCATTGCCTTCACCTCCAGATTTGCCTTGGGAATAATGTGTCCGCCGTCGAACACTCTCGGCTATTGATGAGCTCCCCCCTTCTGCAGCACCATAAATACTTTTTTGAGCATTATCCAAGAAGTTCTTGCCAACTGAACTAGTGTTCTGGATTGCTTCCTTTGCATCACTCTCCTCAGCCTTCTTTATACGTTTCCATCTCTCCCCTTCATGCAACTCAGCAGCAAGTTCCATCTGTCTAAGTTTAGCAGCCCTCTCTTCTTCTGAAAGCTTAGGAGCCACATTTCTCCGCTTATAGCGCGACTGTCGCTCAAGCGAAGTAGCAGAAGATCTAGTAGAGCTTGGTTCTCGAAAGCTCCCATTCCCCCTTTTAGAAACATCAAAATTGGACTGATCTTCTGGAGCATATCTTCCTGACTTTGACTTGTTATCGTTTCTGTCATCAGCATCTTCTTTATAGTCATTGACTTTGCTTTGACCCTGGTGGTGACTGGGTGATCTTTCTCTGTATTTTCTGTCTTCATAGAGATTCTTCCTTCTATCATCAGCATCTTCTTTATAGTCATTGACTTTGCTTTGACTCTGGGGGTGACTGGGTGATCTTTCTCTGTATTTTCTGTCTTCATAGTGATTCTTCCTTCTGTCATCAGCATCTTCTTTAAATTCATTGACTTTGCTTTGACTCTGAGGGTGACTGGGTGATCTTTCTCTGTATTTTCTGTCTTCATAGTGATTCTTCCTTCTGTCATCAGCATCTTCTTTATAGTCATTGACTTTGCTTTGACTCTGGGGGTGACTGGGTGATCTTTCTCTGTATTTTCTGTCTTCATAGTGATTCTTCCTTCTGTCATCAGCTTCTTCTTTATAGTCATTGACTTTGCTTTGACTCTGGTGGTGACTGGGTGATCTTTCTCTGTATTTTCTGTCTTCATAGTGATTCTTCCTTCTGTCATCAGCATCTTCTTTATAGTCATTGACTTTCCTTTGACTCCGGTGGTGACTGGGTGATCCTTCTCTGTATTTTCTGTCTTCATAATGATTCTTCCTTCTGTCATCAGCCTCTTTATAGTCTTTGACTTCGCTTTGACTCCGATGGTGACTAGGTGATCCTTCTCTGTATTTTTTGTCTTCATAGTGAACCCTCCTTCTCCTCCTTTCTCCATCACTTGATTCATTCTCTGAATCTGATTGAGCCTTGTGATGTTTCTTGTCAAAGTCTTCATCACTGGCCCTTCTTTTTCTCCTTTCAGCAATGTCATCTTCTGAATCAGACTGTGTTTTATGCTTTGATTTGGACCGATGCTTCTTTTTTTCTTTCTTACTGTGGTCTTTCTTCTTGTGTTCCTTTCCTTCAACCTGACATTGTTAACAATTTCAGACCCATATATTAGAAAACAACATCAAACACAATTTCTCGATGAAAGTAAATCATAACAGTTGTTTTTGTCATCCAGTTTAGTCAATACAATTTTAAAATTTCTTTATGCTTTGTTTGGGAGTTTGGAAGGGAGAGGAAGGGAAGGCTTCCGGAAAGCAAATTTTTTACAAAAAATAGAAAAAATTTTAACATTTTTTAAAAGAATGATAAATGAATGTTTGTTATCAATATATATAAATTTTCAGAATATTATAACATAGATTATAATTGAAGAATTTATGTAAGCCTTCCAAAACCCTCTTCCAATACAATTTGAGTTCCCCCAAATTCGGGGATTTTTGTATTATGAATCCCCAAAACCCTCTCCTCCTAAATCCCTCAATTGTTTTTACTCCATGATCCTTCCAATTTTTCAAAACCCTCCTCTCTAAACTCCCGAACAAAGTCTTAAGTGCAAGCGGTGAATTACAAATAAAAGCCCAATACATAAGTCTTAAAGCAACATAACTTCATAGTTATAGACCATATAAGCCAGCATGGATAATAATAGCAGACACAAACAGCATGATCACGAGGTCATCGTGGACAAGGGGCTACATGGCATGGATGATCCTAAACATAAGTTGATGTCATCTACAAGGAAAAGGGGCAAGGGAGAAAGCAAAGAAATTGTGGAGGCTGGGAAATGTATTTTCAGCAGCAGAGCGGCAATCAAAATCAAATCACAACTTATTGGGAAATTCCTACTAATCAGAATGTTTATAGCAGCTAAGTGCATTGGAAATTCCTGAATTACAAAATTTGGGTTGGTTAGAATAGTTTCTTCAACATGTTAATGTATATTCCATCCCCAGCAAATTAGAACCCAGAGCACACACTAGCAAGTTCTAACAATTTATAAGTGTCTTCAAAGTTATAATACGACCCCTGTAATTCATCTTAGGTTTTGAAAGAATGGTAATTCCGGTTAAGTAGTCCAGTATCTCTACATAAGTAGCCCAGTTAAGTTACTTAAAGAATGGTAATTCCTGCCTTGTAATCCTCTACCTCTATCAATATAAAACAGACAAAACCACTAGTATAATTTTAGATTCGTGTTCAAGTGAGCGAAAATTGAAACCGATTATGATCAGAGATTGAGACTACAGTCAAGAACAATGGCAAGGCTAGCTATTAGACCAGTACACCAAAGCTGAAGTACCAAATATAGTAAAGTAACCAAACAAAAATGCACAACTATGATTATTGTTAATACTTATAAGGCCGCAACAACAAAAGGACATAGATGCTTACTGATTTTTTAATCATGGCCATCTTGACAGGATTATTTTTAATCTTCGCAAGTGCTTCCTGTTCACGCTGGCGAATCATCAACAAGGGATCAGAATGGAGCTTTCTCCAAGCATCATTAGCCGACTGAGGCTTGTCCTCAAATAAAGCTCCAGGAACACCTGCATCCTGCTGCAACCCAAAAACCACGAATCAATTCACACCAATCAAAACAAACCTAAATTCAGATTAATCAACAATAAACAGAATTAAAAAAAAAAAACCTTAGAAGCAGAAGAGGAAGGTGCATCTGTTGCGTCGGATTTCGGTACAGTTTCAAGCGCCTTGAACCCTTCAGAAGTCTTACCAACAGACAACCCCGAATCATACAAAAACTCCAATCTCTCCTGATGACTACAATCAAAAAAATCAGTCAAATTTTCAATTCAATTAGCGATTTCCAATAAACCCTAACCCTAAAAATAAATTTGGGAATTTCAACAAAAAATGAAAATTGAGTTGGGGGAAAGAGAGAAGGGGTAGAGAAATTACGGGACGAGACCAGCTTTTTCCTGAAGCTGACGAAACTCGCTACGTTCACGTTCCTCTTGAATCTGTTTACGAAGTTCATCGAGCTTTTTCTCCTCAGCGTTATGCTTCTGCTCCGCTTTCCAAACGTTTTCGATGTTCCTGAGACTTCCCGTGTGCCATCCTTTCTTGTTCAAAAACTTCAACGCCATTTTTTGTGATTTCTTCGGATTTGATTGGTTTCAGAAATGAAATAGAACACTGTTTCTTCAACGTTGCTTGCAACTTGGAGAAGAAAATCTGAATAAGAGAACGATGGGTTGCAATTGCGGTTATGTTGGTTCCAGACGGGTCGGCCGGGTCGGGTATCCTTTCGATTTTTTCTCTGGGTTGTTTTGCTTTAAGAAGTGTTTTTTATTTTCGGTTAATATAAGATAGTGCTGACTAAAGATAAAATATTTGTTTTAAAAGATTTGATTTTTTTTTAAAGTCAAAAAATTATTTTGTTTAAATTTTTATTTTTATTTTTGGATTTTTTTTAAACTCTTATATATAGAATACAAGTTAATCAATTCAAAAATATCCAAATATAAGACTCTTGTATATTATTTTTTATTTGTATATTTATGTTTTAGACTAGGCTGATACTTAGTCTATCGTTGAAAAGATCTAATCCAGTGTCTCTGAGGTCCAATGGCATTCAGTCCACGTTGACAATCGTTCGGGATTTCTCCACGTACCTCATAGGCAGACATGGCCAACAACTGTCCATAACCACCCCTATTCTGCCCACCGAGAATAATAGGTCCAACTTCTCTATTATCTCGGAGCAGTTGACTAGGGAGGATGTCACGTGCTGGACTCCATACACAGGTAACCCTGGCAATCGACTTTATTGGGTTTAACTGCGTGGCCCAATACGTAGATCTTGATCCAGCGTTGGGGCTATAAATACCCTCTCACATGTGAGGATCAGGTATTCACTTTTTCCATACTTTTGTTACTTGCACTTGCTCTGAACTTTACTTTGGCTTCAAAGTGTCTTACAGGTACCCTCCGCTTCACTTCGACAGCTAACCAGCTTTAGCATGCGGGCCATCGACGATCTATTCTGGTCAGGTACGATCAGCGGAGCCGTCTATGGGAAACTGCTTCCCCATCTTTTACTCACTGAAGATCAAAGCAAACTTTCAACCCCACGATCATCATGGCCGCTCAAGCAAACAACGATGACCAGAACGCCCACTTCGCCGACCTAGGTAACAACAACGTGGGCATCCACGAGCACGACCTCAGAGATGGAAGAGCTGCCTCCTCTTCCACTCAACTGCATCCACTAGATAACCCTCACCAGCAGGTCGAACAACCCGCGGCGTACTAGGAAATCTCAGTGCTCGCCAATGTCGACCCCTTAACCCAGGCCTTGATTGCAGCGCTCAATCAGACTAACTACATGCTCTTCGCGCAGGGTGAACGTCTTACGCTGCTAGAAATCCGTAGATCCCCGAGAAGACATAGGAGGTCTGACTCACTGTTGGCTCCTAAATTCGACACCTTTGTTTTGATTGATGGCAGCCATTAAAAGCTGAAAGATGCTTTCGACTGGCTAAGCCTGTCGAAGTGCCCGTCGAAAGATGGCAAAATACTTAGAAGATTTCTTCCAAGGAAGAAGGCTGATTGCCTTCGACGTCGAAGGAGTAGTCGTCGAAGATGTCTCTTGACGAACGTGTTCGATGGTCCAGAGTGGAGCAGTTTGAAATTCAAAGCTTTGGAGGGAAAACGGTTTCCAGCAGTTACTACGTGCAAACGTGCAAGGATCTGGAGCGTCGAGCATGGAGAACGTGCCAAGTGGCTTAATCTCGAAGCAGTGTAACTGCCCGACGGTTACTTGGAATGTTTTAGTATAAATAGGAGTAGACATGTAGTTTCTCGCGTGTGTTCACAAATAGATACATAGTCACTCATTTAGATTCAAGTACCCAGTGTGAGCGAAAGAATTGTTGAGAAATGTATGTGTGAAACACCAATTTTATCAATTAAAAGTCATTTACTTTTCCAGTATTTTACATGCTTTTCCCCTTTAAATTCCTGTCGAACCTTTACTTTAAAGCCTTGTTTATTTTACCAAGCCTTTCCTTTATGCAATTTACTTGAAACATTTTACTTAAAGCCTTATCCACATTAATCAAACTTCAAAATCAACCTATGTCCATAGGATCAATCTGATCGATCCTGCGAGTAACCAAATAAGTAACCATTTGGAGGATCAGCGGTTGTTTACCAAAACCCTAGGTAAACAAATTGGCACACCCGGTGGGACTGTGTGTTGATTGTTGAAAAATCTCATCTTTTCGAGTTGTATGTTATTAAGGAGTGGTAGAATATACACCAACGATAACAATACTGCCAGAAGAAGGGAAGAGATGGCGAATCCGCCAAACAACAACGAAATTCCACCACCAAGTGTGGGAGCAACGGTTAATATGACCGTTAGTGAAGCGACGAATGTTGGTTCGACACCAGCAGTGTCAGTCACAGCCACGGGGCCAATAACTTCGTTTTCAGGCCCCAGAATACCTTTGGGAACCCCCCCTCCAAGGGGAAATATAGGCACAAGGCCTGTGGTTCCCCCAGGATTTATTCCATTCTATGGTATGCCAACTTCTGAAGTGGCAAGCCTGACGAATGCTGCGTCCACTTATTCAGACCCTTTCGTGAGTGCCTCTTCGCCACTCCAAGGCTCTGGAGTAGGCATGGCGAATAGAAATAGGACCCAACTCTTAGGAGGAACGTCCCAAGTAGCCCATGGCCTTACAAATGCCTCGACAGCAGTCTTGAGGCAACAGATGGACGAAAGCAACCATGATATGGTGCAAATGTTGGCACAAACTTTGAGTACAGTGCTAAATCCTCTAATACAAAATACTACTCAATCGAATCAGCAAGTTACAGCGCAAATGACGCGTTTGGCTGACTTCTTTGGAGTACCCCCACCTGTTCGACAGCCCCAAAGGGCGCAAACAAGAGGAAATCAGGGGATATTTGTAGAGGAAGAAACCACCATTAATCAGGCTCAACTGCCTGTAGAACAACCTGTCGAAGAACCTAGGGTAATAGCCCCAGAGGTAAGGTTAGTTAACAGAAACCAAAATGCTGACGAAGTGATTCAGCATGTCCAATACCAAAACATGGGTTTAGAAAACAATCTGGCAACCATGATCGAAAGAATCATGACTCAGAATGGAATGAACATGGGCTTTCGAAGGCCCAACTTTACATCTCCATTGTCAGAATATGTGTTACAAACTGACCTACCTCCTAGAAGCAAAGTCCCCAAATTTACTAAGTTCTCTGGGGACACGACAGAATCTACTGTCGAACATGTGGCGAGGTATTTGATCGAAGCAGGAGACATTTCAAATAATGAAAACCTAAGGATCAAATACTTCCCAAGTTCCTTAACCAAGAACGCTTTTACTTGGTTCACAACTCTACCCCCCAATTCGATCCACCATTGGACCCAGTTGGAAAGATTGTTCCATGAACAATTCTATATGGGGCAAACCAAGATAAGCCTGAAAGAACTGGCGAGTGTGAAGAGACGTTTCACTGAACCTATAGACGAATATCTGAATAGGTTTAGGTTGCTTAAGGCGAGATGTTTTACACAAGTGCCAGAACATGAGCTGGTCGAAATGGCCGCAGGCGGTTTAGATTATTCCATTAGGAAGAAGCTAGATACCCAGTACCTAAGAGACATGGCCCAACTGGCCGATAGAGTTCGACAAGTCGAACGCCTCAAAGCTGAAAAAGCTAAGGCAACGAAAACTCACAAGAGAGAGAGAATAGCGTACGTTGAGATGGATGACGAAGATCTAGAATCCTTCGACGATACTTTAGCTTTCGAAGAAGGAGAAGTCGATTTAGCAGAACTAAAACAAGGGCCACCATACTCTTGTAAACAGTTAGTCCCCTCAAATGGGAAAAATCCCATTGGTCCAGACAGGACCAACGATAGGTTCCCAAAAAAGACTTATAGTTTTGACATCACAAAATGTGATGAAATATTCGACTTGCTAGTTAAAGATGGCCAAATGATAGTACCCCCTGGGGTAAAAGTGCCTCCTCTTGATCAAAGAAAGAAGAGAGGTTTTTGCAAATATCATAATTTTTTGGGCCATAAAACTTCTCAATGTTTTCTTTTCAGGAATCTTGTGCAAGACGCTATTGAGGAAGGGAGACTAAAGTTTGCTGACAAATCCCCCATGGCTGTCGACTCCAATCCACTGAAGGCTGAAGCCCACTATGCAGAACCCTCTGAGGTGAACATGATAGAGGCAACCAGGGTCCAGTCGAAGAAGCCAGGCATTACCATGGTCGAAGTCTCAAAGGACCACATCAGTATGCCAATCTTTGGCAGTTTTTCTGGAAATTTATCCAGGAAGACAATTGAGGCTGTCCAGAAAGCGGTCGAAGACCCGAAGTCGAAGACTGCTGAAGCACAAAAAACTGGACCAAAGCCCAGTTCCCACTTGGCCACTGTACAAGGCCAGACGGAGAATCTGGAGACACAAATGAAGCAACTAACTCTTGCTAATAAGGATACAATGAATATCAACATGGTTGAACTTTCTGACCCTAAAACTTCAGAAGAAGCCATAAGGCAAGAGCAGGCAAATAAAACGGCTTTCCCTAGGGAAAACGAAAACTTGGCAGATTTTTTACAAAGATGCCAGAAGAAGAAATCAGAGGTGATGCTGTGTCCAAGATGCAGTTCTATCTTTGATAAAAAAGCTGCTGAGCACATACAAGGCGTGAGAGCAGCGAACAAGAGAAGGGAGAATGCTGACCTTCGACATGATCCCAGGAGGGGTTCTAATCAAGACAAGAGGCCATTGACTTTTAGGCCTCCAACAAATGTACCAGTAGACACTTGGTACAAAACATCTGGCCGGAAAAGGCCAAGTGAAGAGAAATGGCATTCTTTCGAAGTGCCAAGAGGTTCCTCTTTAATTCAGAAGAAAGAGCCTCAAGTTGCTGCACCCAAGGTTGCTCAAGTGTCCAGCAACTACAAAGGAAAAAATCCTATGTCGAGATCCCAATGGAGGAGATATCAAAGAAGGCGAAAAGCTGAAAAGGAGGCTGCCAACGAACCTAAGGCAGAAACTAGTTCGAATGTGCCTCAAAGGAAACAAAGAAAGCCTCTTGAGAG